GGAGCCAGCGGGACAGAGAAAATGAAATGAGAGTAAGAGACACACTGCGGTAAGAAGGAAGGAGAGAGAAAGAGGGTGGGAGGAAAGGGGAGAGGGGACAGACAGGAGGGGGTAGCGGAAAAATAAGCCGCTGAAGGAGAGGTAGGACACGACAGGAAGAGAAAGATCCAGAGAAGAGGTGCTACAGAAAAAGAGACAACAAGGCACATGGAGGGCGGGGCGAGGCTCAGAACATTCTGTGGGTTAGGTAGAGGCCAACCGCAGAAGCTGGGGGCCAGTGAAGGGCAGGGCTATCCCTCAGCAGCACTGGCTACTTAATGCCCTTTGCTAATTAGCTGGTAAAGGAACATCGGAAGGTCCGCCATCGCTCTACACCTCAGAAGTTCAGGGGTTCTGCTCCAAGGATGTGACTACAGGAGCTCATCAGTGGAGCCTCTCTGGGGTTACACTCTTCTGAACACGAGTTAGCGTAAATTTTTACATTTTAAAAATAAAATTTGAGACATGATGGTTTAATCAAAGTTAAACGGGCTTCTTTGATGCATGACTTCTGGGAGCCTTTGATATCAGTTTCTAAGAGAGTGGTACATGGAGTACAGGGATTCCCAAATTTACCTGGGCACAGAATTCCTTGTTAAAAAAGAATCACAAGGGATAACTGTTTGACAGGACACACTCTGAGAAGCACTCTACCAGGAGCATCCTATTCTCTTTACAGTTAGCTTTATAATCACTCGCTGTAACCATAACACCCCAAAGATCAGACAACAAGAAATAAAAAGCAAAATCTGGATTGAAACTGTGAAATTTCCTATCCCCACAAGCCAACATAGCTATTTCTTTATCTCGTTTTATCTTCATATTGCTTTAAGCGCTTTCCATGGGAAGTTCAACATTTTTATCCTTACAGTTGACGCTTTCCACACTTCTAGCACCTTCTAATATTTATCTTCATTAACACTGTGTTATAGGATAGTCTTGCCTCCTTTCCTGCTAAACTTTGTCCACTGTGATGATTAAAATTGGAAAGTGGTGTTTGCTAGTTTCCCTGCAAAACCCACAATGCCAGACCCACCTTCCCTTCTTCACGGGCACATACATGGTGGCTCAGCCTAACTGTGGTCTTGTAACTAACTTCTTCTCAGCGAACTTAGAGCTGAAGTGATCTGTACCACAGCGGTCTCACTTGCTTAAGAGGAACATTGCTGGGACACCTGGGTGGCTGGCCCAGTCGCTGGAGTGTGCAACTCTTGATCATGGGGTTGTGAATTCAAGCTCCATATTAGGCACGGAGCCTACTTTTAAAAAAAAAAAAAAAAAAAAAAGGAACATTGTTTGATTTAAAGTTTTGGTTTTTCTTCCCCTGTCCCTCGTGCCAGAACACAGTGTTCACAAAGATGATAATATCTTAGGGCTGGCAGAAAATTCAAAAGAATGGTACCTGAATGATGGCTCAGAGCAGAGTCCCTCCACCAACACAGACCAGTTACCTTGAGACTTTTACACATGAGAAATACATTTTCATCTTTAACGAAGGGACTGTAATTTTGACTCTCCTTAATACAGTAATTTGACATTTATTGTCATTAACACAGTGTCAATAAGAATATTACAACTTATGGTACACTCACATATATTATTTTTGTAAGCCCATTTTTGCTTTTTTTGTTCGTTTTTTTTTTTTTTTTTTTTTTGACAGACAGAGATCACAAGTAGGCAGAGAGAGAGGAGGAAGCAGGCTCCCTGCCGAGGAGAGAGCCTGATGTGGGGCTTGATCCCAGGACCCTGGGATAATGACCTGAGCTGAAGGCAGAGGCTTTAACCCACTGAGCCACCCAGGCGCCCCTTTTTGTTCGTTCTTAATTTTTGTAAGTAATTTATGTCTTCTAGCATGTGTTAATCTGAACATTGAAAATTAAGGCTTTATGTGTCGATTATATCTCAAGCTGGGGGAAGAAAACTAAGGCTAAGTATGGTAATAAATATCAGTTCATTATTTTGTTCTGTTTTCTTAACGCTTTCAAGCTACACCCTGAGTTATCTAAAGAAGACTCCTTTTTGGGGTGCCTGAGTGGCTCCCTGGGTTAAAGCCTCTGCCTTTGGCTCAGGTTGTGGTCTTGGGGTCCTGGGATTGAGCCCCGCATCGGGCTCTACTCAGCGGGGAGCCTGCGGAATTCCCCATCTCTCTCTGCCTGCCTCTCTGCCTACTTGTGATCTCTCTGTCAAATAAATAAACAATATCTTAAAAAAAAAAAGAAGATTCCTTTTTGCTAATTTGTAGCCAATCAATAATAAACCTTCAAATATAAAATTTCCCATGAATTCCTAATGATATGATATGGCTAATATCTTCATGAACTCCAGTACCTTGCTATGAAATAAAATGTGTAGGGTATTTACTATTCAAAATGTATCTGTTTTCTTAGATAAAGATACAGAATGATTTAACAATGGTTGTTTTATATGGTGAAAAATTCTGCTAAACAGAAAAGCAAGTATTTGGAGGTAGCTACTGAAATACATATGTATTTATGAATATATCTTTGGTAAAGATCCAGACAAAACAAAGCGTGACTCATTGTCAGTAAACATTCCCTAAATGTCTTTGTATTATTATGGGAGAGTTACTGTCTGGTTTTAATAATGTATATACAATGAATTACTATTTACATGTGCTCAAAGGCATTAAAAACAATGATCTATTTAGCAGAAAGGACTTTAAACTCTAACAAATTAATTATCCTTAACTATCTTGTCAATAAGTTGAGGGGCAACTTTTTAGGAAATGATTAAATACAATAAGATTTTACTACTTACATTTCTTATAGTTGCAACTTACTAGTTTTTAGGAGCTTAAGGCATAAAGAATATGTTTTTATTATATTCATTTCAGAGGGTAAAGCAAGAGCTATTAGTAAATGCTTTTTTTTTTTGGACCACAAAATATCTCAAGTTTCATCTCTGACTGAGATGCCAAGGACAGGAATTTGCAATCAGTCTTAACAAAAGTAAAACTGGAGGGTGCCTCGGTAGCTCAGTCGTTAAGCCTCTGCCTTCAGCTTGGGTCTTGACCTCAGGGTCCTGGGATACAGTCCCCCATGGGACTCCCTGCTCAGTGGGGAGTCTGCTTCTCCCTCTGCTTGTGTTCCCGCTCCCGTTTTCTGTCAAATAAATAAATAAAAATCTTTATTTTTTAATTTTTAAAAATTTTTTTAAAGATTTTTTTTTTAAATGTATTTATTTGACAGACAGAGATCACAAGTATGCAGGGAGGCAGGCAGAGAGAGAGGAGGAAGCAGGCTCTCCGCTGAGCAGAGAGACCGATGCAGGGCTGGATCCCAGGACCCTGAGATCATGACCTGAGCCGAAGGCAGAGGCTTCAACCCACTGAGCCACCCAGGCGCCCCAATAAATAAAAATCTTAAAAACAAATGGTAAAACTGGAAGGAATCTTAAGAAATCATAATGACCCTATTTTACAGATGAGGAATCAGATGTCTGAAACCTTATTTTAACTAAAAAAGGATTCCCAAAAAGGAAAAACAACATTCTTCATGGAACTCTAATTCAAACAGGAAGCTTTAACATCTCTGTGAAAGGCTGGTCTTATCATCTTTCCACTTCATACACAGGAGAGAACTAAGGTCTGAGGAAGCTAAGCAGCTGGTTCACTTATCATCTGTCTGAATCGGTGTGTAGCTGGGAATGGAAGCCAGAACTTTAAAAGTTAGAACATCCTCTATCACAGAAGAGACCGATCTCATTGGAAAGGGACCGGCTGGGGCTGGTGAGGGGAAGCCATATTTGGGAAGTCCCCTCATGGACTCCTGCGTTTCACAAGCAGAGTACTTGCTAAAGATTGCAAAATGCTTGCTTAAGTGAGTTACAGGTGACAGTGCAATCTTAAAAAAAAAACAAAAACACTACAATCCAAAACATTACAATATATCAAATTTCCTACCTTCCTCTAAAAAAACCACAGTGTCCTCAACTCCTAGAACTTCAAAATATGCTTTATTATGCGGTTCAGCCTTAAACATCCAGGAAATGCGAACAAATTACATTTAATTTTTATTTGCGTAACCTGAGTTGTCTTTGCAAAATTGTTCCTTCAGGGTCTCGGTGAACATTAGAATAAGACTTCATTTGGACCCCTCTTTCTCTATTCAGAACGCATTTTCTGACGTATTAGCAGCCTGGAACGTTAGGCACCCATTATAAATACCATAAAGGAAAAGTTCGTGACAAAATCTCAGTGTCTCTCTCCTCTCCACTAAACCACCAATGATAACCAACTTCTAAAGACAAGTCATCCCTTACTAAACAAAACAAGGACCCCCCCCCCCCCCCACACCAGAACCACGCTGTGCCTGTGTCCCTGATGTTCCATCCAGCTGCTACCTAGGACACATTCCCACGGGTCACATGGCCCAGCATTTCTGATGACCGCATTCAGTGCTGTGCGGTGTTCCAACCATTACCGCATCCCCCTCCCTCTCTGTACCGTGCCCAGTGAGCTCAGGCAGGCTGGGCTGGAGCGGCGCTCGCCGTCGAGACGGAGGGATCGATCACCAACGTGGGAACCCCACTTTGCAGTCCTCCCCGGCCGCACAGAGCGGGGTGCAGAAGGGGAGCTCGGAAGCGGGGGGCCCGGTCAGGGTGTGCGCAGCGAAGGGCGCCGAGTTTGGGGAGCAGGCGGCAGGGGAAGGGGTGCCGAAGAGTTGGGGATCCCAACATCCGCAGGGGCAGAGAGCGCGGGGCAAGAGGGGGTCCGCGACTGGGGAACCCCCCCTCCGGTTCGGGCGGGAAAGGAAAGGCGCAGGAAATGGGCGCCAAAGAAAGAAGTGAGAAATTGCGGAGGAGGAAGTCGTCCCTGGAAGAGGAGGGGCAAAGGGGAAGCGAGGATGGAGTGTTTGCACTTTCGAGAGGGAAGGGCCGGAGCCTCCTCCGAGCCGGGCGGGGGCGGTGTCCGGGGTGCCCCGGGGTCCCCGCGGCCCTACCTGAAGCGCTCCTGCCCCGCCGTGTCCCACAGCTGCAGCTTGATCCGCTTGCCCGGCTCGATCTCCAGCAGGCGGGAGAAGAAGTCCACGCCGACCGTGGGGTCGCAGGCGGGGGAGCGCAGCCCGGGGAAGCGGCCCTGCGTGAAGCGGTGCAGGAGGCACGACTTGCCCACCGTGGAGTCCCCGATCACGATGAGGCGGAACTGGTAGATCCAGATGGTCTCCATCGCTCACGTGCCCCCGCGGGCTCGGGGCCGCCCCACCCACCCTGCCGCCGCGGGGCAAGTTTGGCGGCGGGAACTGTCCCTTCAGCACCGCCCGGGCGTCCGCCCGCCGGCTTCCAGCATATTCCTGCGACTGCGGCCGCCGCCTGGTCCCCGCCCTCTCTAGAAAGAGGGGCGGGACCCGGCCGGGCCGGGGGCGGGGCCTCGGGCCAGGGGGCGGGGCGGGGGCCGCGGCGCAGTGGGGCGGGGAGGGAGGACCTCCCGGGCTGTCTGCGCGCGACTCCCGCCGCCGCCCTCGGTAAATCTTTCCCCCACAACGCTCACTGGGCGCCGCCGGGTAGGTGGGTGTGGCGAGAGGACGTGACGGCAGCGGCCGCCAATAAAAATGAAGCAGGGGCTCCCCTCCGCCAGGGTCAGCCAATGAAAAGTGAGAATCGTTTTCTTGCGGGGGGAGGGGGTGGACTTGTCGGTGTCGGGGTGGGCTCCTGCAAGTCGCGGAGGCCGAAACGGGGGTCACGGGTGCTGCGCGTTCATCCGTGGACGGGAGCGGCCCTGGGAGCTCTGCCCCTTCCCGGACTGCTGCAGGTTCCAGCGGACGGCGTCCTGCAGTGTAGCCTTGCTCAGCGCCGCCTCCGACGCGCTCAAGGTGAAGGAGCGAAGAACAGAATCGAAATGAATTTGCAGAGCAAGTTCTGGATGCTTCCGGCAAGCGCTTTGGCCGTGGCTCCTACCGCCCCCGGGTATCTGCCTCACTGCTTTCAGAGCCACAGAAGAGCGAGAAGAATGCCGGAGATCACGCCATCCTCTGGGGGCCTTCCAGCCTGGAGGACAGGATGGGGGAGAGTTAAATGTTGAGATGCTCACGGAAGCTCCCATTCTTCTGGGTCTCCGTTCTGGAAATCGGAAGACCGCGAAGGGGTGTCTGCCTCGCAGACTCAGGTCCGGGAGCCAGATACGGAGCACACCTGAATTCCGATGCGATCTCACTGGTCCTTCGTGCGCTTCTTAGAACTGGGCAATAGTGCATTCAGGGTCTAGCGTGTAAAACTTAACAACAGTTTTAAAGTGTGTTCTTGCCAAAATAAGAGCTTTTGACAATTCCACTTTTTTCATGCCCACATCCAAACCTGCACTATTGTTATTCATCCTTAACTTCCTTTCTTGTTTTGGAGACAAAGAAGTCGCTTTCAATATCGCATTTAATCCCCTGTCACCCAGAGGACTTTGCACTTTTTTCCTATAGTTGATCTTTTTGTCATGCTATTCATAGCTCTGATCTCCTCTCCAATCGCTTGGACTCCTCAGCATGTAAACACTTTAAAAAAAAAAAAAAAGCCAATTGGGTGACCCATCATTCTATCCAGAGTTCTCTTCTAGTCTCCAGGTAAGGATGGCTAGGTGATAGAATTCTGACCAATGAGACTTAAGTAGGGCTTTTGGTAAAGTCTTACTTTTCTGATAAGGGTCCAGCACCCATACTGGCCTTCATTCTTTCTCTTTTGCTTTTCCTGCCTATCAAGAAGGTTTAACAATCATCTTGTAACTGTAGCGATGAAGGCTAGATGCTAATGATGGTGGTAGAAGAGAGAGGAAGAGCTTGAGTTCTTCATGGAATCGAGCATCTGTTGTACCATCTCTGAACATCTTGTTGTTTGACACAAATAAGTCAATCCCTTTTTAAGCCCCTGATGGTTGGATTTTCTGTAAGGATAACCTGCAAACTATTATTTCTTGGCTTTTACAAAAGCGTTCTCTACTAGTCTCCTGTATTTTTAAACCTTATTTACTGACTCCTCTTTCTGTCATCTGTTGCTTAAATATTAACGTTCCTAAGATACTCATTTTTCCTCTCTTTACCCTCTCCTCCTGTTTTCCATTACTTTGAGTTGCTTCTGATGACATCATCAACTCCAGTGACTCCAGTTCCTCCCGTACCCAAACCATGTGTCCTCCCCTCAACCTCTGCTCTGTCTTCCAATGACCTCTCCCCTTTCTACGTTGGTTAGGATTCTCTGAAGCAATCTCCAGTTAGGATGATACAAAAAGACAAATGTACTTATCATAAGGATACAGAGGTATTTTTACACAATCCACAGGCAGGAATGCAGATGGTGTCATAAAGGGATTGGAAGGAAAGGGAAAGTTGTAAGGAACACAGGCAGCGTGGGTCTCTGTCTCTCTCCTATTTACTTCCTTCTAACATCTGCTTACTTCTTACCTCTCTGCAAACCAGCTTTTTCTCCTACTTAGTCCATATGGAAACCTATAGTTGCTGCAAGTTCTGTGTTAGATATCTAGACACATACAGAGATCGATTTACATTTTTCTCCAGAGACAATTTAATTGGCCCAGTTTGGAACAGGTGTTTATACCAAAGATATATGGCCAGTGAGATAGGAATATGTAGCAAGCCAGTCCCTTTGGATTCTGGAGAAAGGATTGTTCAGTGGCTTCCCTTTGTACCAAAAATATCTCTATAATGTCGAAAAGTGAAATCATCTATTTTTTAAAAGATTTTATTTATTTGACACAGAAAGAGACAAGCAGGGGGAGCTGCAGGCAGAGGGAGAGGGAGAAGCAGACTCGGCGCTGAGCAGGGAGCCCAAAGCCGGGCTTGATCCCAGGACCCTGAGATCATGACTTGAGCTGAAGGCAGATGCTTAACTGACTAAGCCACCCAGGCGTCCCTGAAATCATATTTCTTGCTACGTTTTTTCCCCCTATACTTTACAGATGGGTTGGTGTGTTCAGTGACTATTCTAGCTGCCTAGACAAGTGAGAGCTTATGGTGCTGAATCTGGGGGCCAGGGATCTGTGCCGTGGATAAGGAAGGGACGGAATTGGTCTAAAGACAGAAGAATGTAGAGCTAAGGATAATCTAATATGTAGCATCCTGGACAAAACTAAAATGGGGAGGAAAGTAGCAGGTCAAGTAAAGCCCCTTAAAGGGACTAGGTAGTTAGAGCAGACCATAGCTACATGTCAACCAAATGGAAATTGGGGAAGCCAGTCCAAAGGACGGTCTAAGTGGGAGATCAGGAACATAGTTAGATACACCATTAGGCAGAGGAAGAGGCATGGGGCTTTCTGTAAGGTCCCTGGCCTCAGGACGGATGTAACAAGGATCTAAGGTCTAAGGTAGTTTAGACACCATGTTCGGTTGATTATGAAGCAATAGCAGCTTCATCCCTCTTGCGCTCTCTCTCCTTTGGCATTTTCAGCCAATCATCAAATCCGGGTACTTTTACCTTAGCAATATCTTTCAGATTTGTGACCTTTTCTGAACTTCCCACTGTCATTGTCTTTGTTCAATTTCTTATCACTTCAGGTCCTGTTCAGTAACCTCTGTAGTAGTTTCCCGGGGGTGTTGTAACAAAGCGCCACCAGCCAAATGGCTTCAAGGAACAGAAATTTATTGTGTCAGAGGCTAGAAGTCCAATGGGTTCCAGGCTTGATACCTTCTTCGGGCTGTGAGGGAGAATCTGTTCCAGGCCCCTTTCCTAGCTCCCAGTGACTTGCTGGGCAATCTTTGGCAATCCTTGGCATGTAGGAGGACCATTCCAGTCCTCCACTGTGACGTGGCATTTTTCCTGTGTCTCTTCACGAAGCCTTCCTTCCGTGAGTGTCTGTGTCTGTGTCTAAATTTCCCCCTTTCTGTGAGGACCCCAGTCCTATCAGATAATGACCTCATTTTAGCTTTGAGCATCTGTGAAGACTGTTTCCAAATAAGGCACATTCTGAAGTTCTGAAGGACTTCCTTGTATCACTTTTGAGTGATATAATTCAATCTGTGACAGCCTCCCATATCCTCACTCACCCTAGGATAAGGTCTGAATAATAATGTAATACACGTCCCAATCCTAATGTGGCCTCTGAGATCTAGTCAGTGACCCCTCTATTCATGCTAGACTTTCCCCCCCATGCTATTGTGTCCTCTTCTGATATCCTTTTCAACCTCCATCTGGTCAGCAAATTTCTCTTCATCTTTCAAGGCCCGGGACAAATATTATCTCCCCTTTGTAATCTTTCTCAACCACTTATATCCTCAAGGAGAATTGATTGTTCACTCATCTGTGTTCCTACAGCGGTTAAGCAAGGAGTACTCTGTACTTCTAGGATATCTCATATCTTCTATAATATATCTCATATTGAATTATGGCTCTTGGTTTGACTGTCTGGCTAGATGGCAAGTTCCTCAAGGCAATTACTAATTCATTGTTATTTCCCCAGCACACACAACAGCCCACACGATAGTGGTGCTCTGTAAATGCTCACTGAATGGAAATGAGCTGTTAACCATACTTCTCTATGACCTTGAACTTCTATATATGTGCGGTCTGCGCTTACCCCAACGAACTTCATGATGAGCTGAAATTGAATAATTTTATGATCCCTAAGATTTGCCTTTGAATAATCCAGGAACAATTTCAATTTTAAGTAGATTTGGATTATGCTGAGTACAAATAATATTTTAATGAGAAGTGTTTATAGAAGGTTTAGCTTAAAAATTAAGGCACATAGAGCATATTTAATTTAAGAGAGCTGCTTACACTGTTACTCAGGATATACTGCTTTGATATGTATATATTTTAAAATCAAGTGAAAATATGGGAAGTGCCAAAAAGGAGGATCTAGCCTCTTTCTGTTGTTTATTGCCCAGGAGTCAGGAGACCTGGGTTCGGGTCCCTGTGTTGCTACAAACTTTGGGGGCTTTTTGCAATTACTCAATCTCTGTGTTTCTCTGCTTCCTCACCTGGCCACTAAAACAAGTTGATCTACATCAGTGTTTTTCAAACTGGAAGTTATAAAATCAATTTCGTGGGTAACTGCCAGAACTAAAAACAAAATAAAACACCAGAGTACATCACACATAATAAAGATGTTTGTTTTGGGGCTCCTGGGTGGCACAGTTAGGTGTCTGCCTTTAGCTCAGGTCAAGATCTCAGGGTCCTGGGATCAAGCCTCATGTGGGACTCCCTGCTCAACAGGGAGTCTGCTTCTCCCTCTTCCTCTGC